ACGCTCCACTTTTACTAATTCTAAGCTGCCAGCTGTCGCTGTTTTCTTCTTTTTTTTTTTGAGTTGTGAAGAGTTTACCGCACAAAAAGGGGCAAACTGAAATCTGTGGGTAAATTTTAGAACACACTATATATTCTGTTAGAGAAATAAATTTTTGTTTTTCTTATTTTATGCCCCTCGCTCACCTATGATTGCTTTTTCCATTTCCATTACTTATGTTTACTAAAAAAGGAAGCATGCGGTTGATCTTTGAAGGTACATGTTTTAAAATTATTTCAATAATTGTATTTGTAAATAGGTAAAAGCCCTATGGTGACTCACACTTCACCGTTAAATCCAATACACTCCAATGCCTATTGTAGTTATTCATATAATGTCTTTTTAAAATAAAGTTTTTTATGGGACGTGATCAAAAAGGTATTGCGATTTGAAACATTTTCAATAGTGTTCGTCCTTGGACGAAAACAGAGGGACAAGCTTAGTTCCATTTAGTGTAATAACATCTGAGTCAATCTCAAATCCATGTGCGTATTGCATACAGATGTACTAACTTAATATATCCTGTGTAGGGTATAAGTGGCTGACAGTCACATCCTGATGTGAACGAGAACGTGGCGAAGTTGGACTTAAGGCAACAATTATTTGTAAAGCATGAAATAATTTTTAAAAATAAAAAAAAAGCAGACCTAATAGTCAGTTGCTAGTGTTCATCCCACTTTAAGTCCTAGAATTTATTCTTTTGGACTACATTATAATAATAAGAATAAAAATAAATCGTTTAGTTATTATACCCTACACCGTTCGTACTACTATATATTGACTTTATTGAATTTTGTGCGGATGCATGCAATACCCAGAAGAAATTGAAGTAGACCTACTTATTATTATATTGATTCAGATTCAGAATCGCTTTCTTAATTTGTTTGTCAATCTGTCCGTTTTGTTTTCGTGTGTTCTTTCCGCAAAGTTTTCGCCCATGGACGAACACTATTGAAAATAATTCGGATAGGATCAATACACTACAGTGTAGGGTATTTAATCTTGAACCTTGAAAAAAATTTTCCAAATTTTTCATAATTTTTCGAAATTTTTGCAATTTTGTTGTTTTCTAGTAATACCACAGTTATCCTCCCGTTTACCTCACACTCAGAAGTATGCATCGGAGACTCCAAGAAGTGTAGTTAGTTGTTCTCGATCCCCATGAAACTATGAGCTGTTTAGCAATGGCAAGTACCAGAACGAAGGATCAAAAAAAATTTACCCTAAAATCTTGCTTACCGTAGCGAATTAAAAAATTGCTGAAATCTTTGCAAGATTCTTCAATTGAGCTATCCAGGATGATTTACAAATTCCATCCATGACGACCCAAAAAATATTCGATGCATAAAATTATCTTGATCGAGCAAATAATGAGAAATATTAGCTGGCGGCGATGGATATGAAAAATGTACACCTAGACGAATATAATTTAATTTTTTCCTTTTTGGTTATCTTCAATTATTTTTTATTAAATCGCATTTATATATGTACATATATATAGTTTTAATATATAATCTCTACTCTTAAACATCAATTGATTCCTTCCGCTACACATAAAAAGTAAGCAGGGTTTTTGAACGTCATTATACCGTATGTCCTCAGGTGTATGAAAATTTTTAACAAAAAGTGAGGTTAGAATGGAATTTCTCATATTATTTTCGGAAAATTATTATAATTAAGCATCTGACATAAAAATCTATGAGTATATTCTAAATGCTCTCTTTAATTATTATTATTATTATTATTATTATTATGTTTATTGACATCAAGTGTTATTCGTTATTATTAAAAGGAAATCCGAGAAATGAATGTATTTAAATTTAGATCATATGCAGCCAAAGATCTTTAGGCACTAAATGAAATGAATTTTATATGGAACATATATAAAATTCAACATTTATTCCTTTAAGGTCGTAAATATAAGCAAATTGATTTTTTTTTATTAATTCTAAATTTACTCATCTAAAAAAAAAGAAAAAAAAATAAATAAATAAAACATAAAAAAACACTATTTAATAAAATGTGTTTTTGACCTCGAAAACTATGAAAAATTATTACAACTATCGATATATACATAATATCATAATGTAACCGCTATTACGCAAGACGGTAAATGATAAGATAATATACATTCGTATATATATATATATATATATATATATATATGAATATATATATATATATAACAGCAAGGCAGAAATAAAAAAAAATATATAAAAACAATATTAAATTTAAAATATGTATAATTCATAATTAAAAAAAAAAAAATACAAGAATATGATCGGAAGTTTTACTACTAAAGCAAAAAGTAACTTAAGCTGTTATATATCAGGTTATATTTACATATTATTATTATTATTATTATTATTATTATCATTATTTTTCTCTCATTCGTATAAATTAGATGAGATTGTTTATCTTCTAATGCAATTATTTTAAAATTTAACTAAATTAATAAAGTCAATAGTCTTGTACTTTTCCAAAAGGTGTAGGGTATTTACTACTCGATATTAAAAATACATATATAGAGAAAACGATTTAATGTCCATCAATTTAGGTCTTTAACTAAATTTTTATTTTTCGTTTTGCTTCCAATTTCCCTCCAGTAAGAACAAAAAATATATAGGTATAAATAGAGCCGAGGTAGATAAGAATCGCGACTACCAAGTAAGTGCATAGTGGATTCAAATATCAGTGCGGTTAAAGCGTAATTGATCGTAGCTGAAAGATATAACGCTTGCATGTATGTAGCAGCCAGAAGGACTCGAGAAAGATGACCGAGGTTGATTTAAACCGATCGATTCAGGATCGCTTTCTGAATCAATTTAAGCTTGTTTGCACGTCTCGTCTTCAACCCAGAGGTCACTGACGTGTTTTTGAACATGTTGCCGATCGCACCACTTTTTCGATGATACCCCGCATATAGCGTCTTTTTTTGAATATGTAGTAACCGAAGTGGTGCGCTGTGTCCCTCTACGATGTTTTTACTTTCTTTTAAAAGAGTGTTAATGTTGAACTCTCTTCTAAAACAAATGGTAACAAAATCAAATAAATGGAAAATGTTACAAGTTTGTAAAGATATTTGAAAGAATATATATTCAGAAATTACTATCCGACAGCCATCTTACAAAAGAATCCATGTTTTATTGAAAGTTGTAAACACTCTACTCGTTACAGCGGATTCATAATCCATAGCTATTAAGTTTAGCGTAAACCATGCACCTACCCCTCAGTTATCTTCTAAATCGAAAAAAACATGGGATGTTGAAAGGCCTAAGTAAACTGGTAAGTAAATCCTGCAATCATAATGATGGCACTATATGAACGAGGAATCGGTTTAAGGCTCTCCTTATCGAGCTATCAAGCTATTACGAAACCAAAAAACTCTACAATCACTTCTAGTACTCCAATGCCTCCGGAACGAGTCGCGAGTTAGTCTTCTCGTTCCTTGCATTTACAACGGACTATTTCTGATATCATGGCTATGTATGTATAACAAAATAATTCAAAGAAGATGAAGAAACGTAAGTAAAGAAACAAGTGATATATAAAGTTTGAGGAATGATTGCTTAGTTAAGGATATGATTGCTTAGTTAACTTGTCTAGTTCTTGTCTTTTCAATGGCTAGCAAACGTTCATAGTTTCCATATAAAATTTGCCTTTGTATGTGCTGCCCAAGCAGGCATCGTATATCACATTAGCAGAATACTTTTCGAATCGAATTTTTTCTATGCCCGTTGCGATATCACCATATTAATATGGCTTCTCGCATGGTCCCATGGGTTCCCTTGTGGGCTAAACAGCCGGCCTTTTGATTGCCTTCAAAACCCGAATGTTCAGTTACCCATATTAGGTGTACCTCACTGTGATTGCTCATCCTAGATGTCAACCTCTCTCTGCTCTTTCGCCGTCATTCAGGCGGCTTGGCTGTCGGAAGGAATGCAGCTTAGCTCCCGACCTGCATTGCTTTCTTACGCATTCGGAGACTTAAGCTGAAAATGCATAAACTTCCACTTGAAAATTATTAGTAGAATGCATCCCAGTAGTATCGCCTTTTAAATTTTAGACGCAGGCGCCAGCCCAAGATTTGCCATTTCCTAATTGCATGCTTCCAATCTAGTCTATAAAGTTTGACTGTCTCAACTAGATTTTGCTGGTTAGTTCATAAAGTTCTTCAGTACCTCAGGACGGCCACTAAGATTTCCCCGTTTTAGTTTGTTGATGTTCGGCAGTGCGAGTGCGTTCAACAAGCCTCTTTTTTCCTAGCTATAGAGCTATAGAGAAAAATATTACACCAGGCAGCAGATTTCGTCGCCCCGACCGTGCTAATGCAAGCGGATTTTGTTTATTTCCATGGCCGTCGTTTTTTGCTTTACCTTAACTGTATACGTAGACATACGAAGGATATTACAAGGACGGACAGCCACATTGACATGCTTCAGTCAATGCAGAATTTGATCCTGAGCAAGGTATAATTTGTGGGATCTCTGATGTTCCCTTCTGAACGTTGCAACGTTCCCTTGTCAAAATAAATATATATCTCTCCGCCTTCGATGATAATAGATATAAAAATGTGTAACTAGCAAAGCTTAGCTAAAGCTATATAATATATATTTTAACACACGACGTCATGTGGTGTGGAACATATACACTTCAAATCAAGTTCATACGTGCAGAGCATTGAAAGGAGTTGAAGTCAAGATTTTATTTTGAAGGTATTTTTTTGTTTTTTTATTATTATTAAACTTAGCAACCGGTAGAATTTATTATCAATTAAATACTAGTCTCTATGGAAATTTTTCAATGTGATACGGATGTGAGAAAAAATATTTATTTTTTTTTGAAAGCTTTCAATCAATTCTACTGAATCGAGATAGAAAAATACTGCGAAATTTTAATTATATTTTAAAAGGAAATTTTGTTTTTTTTTTTAAACCAAGCAAAAAAAATCCTAAAAGAAAATGCCACGCATAAAGCCTACGACAAAGATTGATGTTATCGGTAATTTGGATTTAAATCCAGAAAAAGCTGTCGGCGATTATATCGAATCGAAACAGCAGGATACATATTTTGTGTAAGTTAACTTACAATTATAACAAAATACGATAAAGAGATGAGAAATTTTTTTTCATTTTTGTTTTTTTTTTTTGTTTTTTTTTTTGATGGATGATGATTAGAAAACCACCTAATTGGGATTCGGCTGGTGACTCAGTTGAATTACTTTATATACGAAATGAACGTGAGCATGCGGCTATGCTGCGTTTGCAGACGGAAATGTTGGAGAATTCAAAAAAGCAGCAAGCCAGCAATGCGAAGCGCATACGCAAACTTTACAAGATTCATAGCAAATTGCGTAAGCGATTCATCGAAGTCAATAGTTTCATTAAGGATTGCGTCGACAAGAAACGTATCGCGGAGAAAAAGGTCGCCGAGGAGACGGCTCAACATGAAATGTTAAGATCTGTCATAACGAAATATACGCGGAGTATTGAGGAGTTGTGTAAGTGCGACGTCTCTTAACGCAAAATAATAATTTAATAATTTAATTTTAATTTATTGGTAAATTATCCTCATCTAAGCGAAATTTCGTGAAGAGTTGAAGGCTACCGTTAAAGAGTTTGAACCTTATGAAAAGGTATTACAGGAAGTAGTAGAAAAATCGGATATTTTTCAATCAGTCAAAGACTGTATGGATCGTTGCGATGCGTTGAGTGAGTAAAATGTATGAAAACGAAAAGAGGCAAAGTTGTGATTAAGAAATTCGATTTAGTGTTGGCTCAGGTGGAAATTTCCGCATTAGAGCAAAGGAAAATCCAAGAAATCGAGGAGATGCGTAAACGTATGGTTAAGGTGACGAATGAAGCTGCTCTTACAGTACTGGGTCTTAAAAATGACTTGGCAGAATTGGAACGTTCCTATAATCAGGCCAGAGCTGAATGTTCAAAATGGGAAAAGATTTTGGCTAATGCCAAAAATACTGTAGCCTTACATGACCTCGATAAAGATCGCGCCCTGGATGGCATACATTACATGTACCGTTTGTTATGTAAAAGGAGAAGTATGCACATGATGTCACATATATGTTACGCCTTTGTTTCATTTCTTGCTTTTTTTTATTATTTTTTTTTTTTATTCATTTTCTTTCATTCAGATCGCGAGCCAATCTTCTATCGGGTTGATGTGGAAAATCAACTCGATTATATCAAGAGCGAGATTGAATTGCTGATTGAAGTACATAAAGAGTACATGAAGCGCAACGCGAGAAACAAGAAATCAGAATATTCTTCTGAGAAAGATATGGTCAAATGTTAAGTTGACTTCGCAAACTGAAAAAAATCTTGTATTTTTTTTTTTTTCGACATGATTTTATATTTTTGCAAATTGGCGACCGGGTTGTTTTAGACAAACTGAAAAAAATCATCTATCTGGCTTGAGTCTCACACTCGCGCTATATGTTTTGAAAAAAAATCAAATTAAATAACATCTATATTAATATATATGTGTGCAGTTTTTTTCAAGGCAGTAAACCATTGCCAGATATTTGCTTTGAGTGTTTCGAAATAATTTCGAATTGATTGCACTTGGGTTTACGTACAATATGAAACGAGTGGGAAGCCCGAATTCAAGTTTGATTACGTTGGCATTTTTATATCCTAAGCGCCTTGCGCTTTGCAAGGCCTTTGCCTCACTCTTCCTATAAGCTTTACTCATCACCGCCTTTTCCGCATGCGCATTGGCGGAAATCCCCTGATTGGCTGCTCATACAAAAAGAAAAAGGAAAAAGAAAGAAAAGGGTATATTAAGTTTGTGCAGACGTATGTAACATCCACCTTTTATCATACCAATCGATTCAGAATTATTTTCTAAATCGAACAAACAGCAAAGCTTTTCTGTCCGTCTGCCCGTCTCATGTCGCTTCATGTAAAATTATATATATATAAAGGTAATATATTCAATAACCTCATCGAATTTAGACCATATATGTCTATATATTACATACCACTCTCCATACAAGATTTCTAATGAATAGTACGCCCTACGGAAAAAAATTTAATTTTTAATATTTTACGATGAAAATGCATTCATAAATGTGATTTAGTAAAAAAATTAATGGTAGAGAATTTGGATCAGATAGATCTGTTTTTTGGATCGTAATACATATGGAGAGGCGGCTGAGAAATAACAAAATACATGGAAAGTAAATTATGGTTGCAAAGTTTGGACAGTGTAATGTGAGGTTTCGAGCCCCCTCCAATATGCGGGCGTTCATGAAAATAATATGTAATTTTTGATGTATTATTTCCAAAACGACTGAATAATTCTATTAGGCCAAGTGATGCAGGATATCTGATAGCTTAGATCGGTATAATAAACGATAGGTTTACCTTAGGTTTTTCTGGGTGTTATATAAGTTAATATATAAAAATGCTTGCAGTAGTGACCATATTTTTCTTTGATTTATAACTTTTGAAAATGATTTCATTAGAAAATGAAAAATTTCATATTTATTCGCTTATTATTCGTTTATTAGTTTATAACATTAAATAAAGTTTAAAATAATTTTTGATTTACTTGCAAAATTATTTTTCTTGGTTAAGACGAATTAAAAATCGATTACGTGTTAATTATGCGGAAACGAGTTACCAATGGAAAGCGTTCGATTGCTTTCTTTTTTTCAATTTTCCTTTTTTTTTTCTTCTTTCTTAACTTGTCAAATATATGTGGGTAAGTTTTACGTCTTTTCACGTTTCAAGTAACAGATTTTCTTTATAATATAGCGTAAAGTGAGTAAAAGGATGCGGCCAAACTGTTTGCTGCAAGCTGCCGTTAGAGATACGAAACTGAACCGATTATTTGAAAACAGAAGAAGTCGGAACTTAATGACACTCGTAGATTTTTCCCTTTGTTTTTTTTTTTTTTTTTTTTTTGGAAAAGTTTATATGCTTTGTTAGATATTATTTAAATTAACAAAATCAATCTCTTTTATCGTGAATTATTCAGTTGGCATTTCAACATATATATATTTGATCACAATATAGAAAGAAATTTAAGTTTTCTCTGCACAAAAGTACATCAATGCCTCGCTTATTAAAAGATGCGCGAGCGAGCAAAAATTAACACAATTTAAGTGATCATCTACCTATAAGAACACACAATGAGCTTTATTTTGACAGTTCCTTTGACAAGCATCAAGTATGAGGCAATGATTGCGTTCAGCACTTAAATCCTTTCATTTTGGTTGAGCATTGATCTCGATTTTTCTTCTTCGAGTAATGCAAAAAAAAAAAATCGAATTTCATTAGCAAAACGGTAGGGTATCCCTACTTTTGTGAAATGATAATTAGGCTGACAAAAGTATACCTGGCAGCTCTACTGTACCAAACGCGATAATGAAAAGAATAACGGGGAAAAATCAGGTGTTTTTTCAGATGTTCTAATTACAGATGTGTTTTATATTAAATAAATGAAAAGAAGTGAGCGAAATGAAATTGAAATATAAATCAAAACGAATGAGAGAAGAATCGTGAGCATAAAAGTCGTCAAAAGTTGTTGTTGCTTCTGCAGTTCATTTCGGACGAATACGTGGAATATGACGGGAGTTGCGCGTCGCAAATTTTCTACTTTCGCTTTATACGGCATTCGCGTTGAGTAGGAAAAAAAAAAGAAAAGAAATTGAAACTGAAATTGCATTTTTTGTATTGAAATCTTTATGATAATTTCTGATTTTTTTTTTCGTCGTATTCGTTTCGTTTTTAAAGTCTACGCAAATATAAAAAAAAACAAATTATTTAACATTCATTCATAAATTTGACAACAAAATCAAAGCATCAAATTTTTACTACTTATTGGTAAATAGCATAGAAGTGTGCGCAACGAAGAAATTTGAAGAAGAGAAGAAGAACATACATTTTTAATACTGAATAATACGTAATGTGAGTGTGTGTGTAGTATTTTAAACAACTTGGGGTAAACATTTATAAAAATTTTCATTTACGTTCGAGAATTGGAATGAAAAAGATGTCAATTTTGTGTGTTGTACAGAAAACTTGGAAAACTTAAAATACGTTTCAATTAGTTCTTGTTTGGTTGTAAGGAGTGGCGCGTCGGTTTAGAAAAAAAAAAAAAAAGTTCAAAAATAAAAGGAAAGATTTCTTTATCAATGCAAATGCAAATTGAAAATTTAAAAAAAAAGGAATCAATTCATGAAAATTTTTAATTCATCCTAAGGTTAAAAAAAATTTTTTTTAAAAAAAATAAAAAAACTTTCAATATTTCAGTGAGAAAAAAATCAAAGGAAAAGAGGTTTCGCAACAAAAAGAGACAGTTGCTCAAGTGTGATAAAATACTTAAAAAAAAAAAGAAGGAATAATAGAAAAATAAAAAACAAAGGAGAAGTGGAAAATAGAGAGATAAAAAGAGCCATTTTAGGCAAGAAAGAAAAATATAAATGAGGAGGATTGGGAAAAGTTGATAAAAACCCTATAAAAGAAATTCTTAATTGAAGATTATTTTTATCTTAAAAAAGATATATATTTTTTTTTTTTGTTTTTTTATTATTTTTCTCTTTGGGTTCCAGATCGCCTACCTACTAATATCTGCAACATTTTCAATACCTTTTCGTCTTTTTACGGAATGCGTATGTTTCTCTTAAATATTTTTTTTTTTTTTTTTTTTTTGGTATGTTGAACAGAGAAGGACTAAGCCAATAGATTTGTGGCTTATATGTCCATCTCTTAAATATAATGTACAATTAATTATATGTCCATCTCTTAAATATAATGTACAATTAATTAATTTTGTGTTTTGAAAGAAGGTTCAAAATAGCCAACAACAACACGGTTAAGCGACCAGCGCAACCAGCGATTTATACAAAAACCACATTAACAAATATTGCATATATATATATATGCATTATATATACATATATATGTGTGTGCATGTGTGCTTACGCGTTTAATTTAGTTTTGTTTTTGTTGGCTTTTTTTTTCATTTTATGAAAGGAATTCTCCAATTTTTAGTCTCTTCTCAGTTTTGTGCTCCGTTTCACTCTTAATGCATTGGTTTTGTTTTCATGCTCTCGTAAATTAGAAACTCCGCTGTTTCTGTTATATGTAAATGCGTGCGTGTGCGCCCGCACATATCTATATATATATATATACACATATATCCATATGCAGTTAAAATAACAACAAAACGTAGATGAAAATAAAACCCGATTAAATAATAAACTTTTCAAAAATAGATAAAGACGAGAGAAGAAGCACTTCTTTCTTTTTTCTCAACAAACAACTAAAATTCGCAAAAAGAAATATAAAAAGAAGAAAAAAAAAAACGGAAAAACAGAAAAAACTAAATACTGAACAACAACAACTACAGCTGAAAATTGAACAATCAACATAATGGCGGATTTTGATTTAAATGTTGACAGCTTAATACAACGCCTGCTGGAAAGTAAGTATGAAATAAAAGTTTTATTTTCTTCGTTTTTTCTATATACTTCTTTTTTTGTTTTGTTATTGATTAACGAAATAATAAGAGAATAAAAATAGTTATATTTATATTTTCATTATTATTATTATTGTTTATAATTTGGTGTGCATGAGTATATTTCGATTCGCTTTCTATGTGTAAATAAGAGTATTACGGCTAAATAGCGACGGGATGCTCGCAGTTAGATTAGAAATAGATTTATTTTGCTGCTAGAATTCAATAAGTATTTGCTATGATTTCCCTTTCATGTAAATATAAATTTCATGCATGGATCGCATGGATACTTTGTATTAATTTTTTCCTTTTTTGCGAAAGTGCATCATAAATGCTTTAAATATCATTTACTATTCGTAGAGATTTGTTAAAAAAATTCTTACAACGAGGCACGAATTAATTTCGATATCAAATTGTTGCCTTACAGAGCCTTCGTTGACGTTGTTTATAAAGCAGATCATAAATCAACTTTTCTCCCAAAAAAAAAAAAAAAAAAATCTCACGGAAATATTTTCTAAGTAACACTGTTCGCGACCAATTTTTTTGTGGTGCTATCACAGATGTCCTAAAAAAGACCAAGAATGAAGAAAAATAAACTTTTATATATTATAAGGTTGCGTGGGCATGGCTGTTTCTTTCCTCCCTCATCGTTGTTAATCGAATTTTGTTTTAAGTGTGCGTCTGTTGCTATCGGCTACCGGTTAATAATACAAAAATCTGGTTGCGCAGTTAGCCGGCGGCGCCCTTTAATAGAAAAAGTTCGATTTTTCCATTAGCTTCAGACAATAGGAGCATATAAAGGAAAATTTGTATTCTATAACCCTTGTCGAAGTATGAATCTAATTAGAATTCGATTATATAGTCATAAATATGAGTGAGAGATGCTACAATGATTCGCTTATAAGAATAGGGGGAATTTTCGGTTTTTAGTATCCTCTACATATTTAGTTCATTCCTAAACCATTTGCTTAGTTCATGTATAATATTCTGCTTGGAGTGTTATTTCAGGTTCGGGAAAAAGGAAAGGCCACGGAACGTTGCGTCAGCTTCCTCTTTCGTTAACAATATCTGTAGTGAAGCATGATTTCTACAATTTTTCCCGCATATGTATATTGATTCTAGGAATGTCAGGGGACCTGCTGCTTACCCTTGTCATTCTTGTTATCCTTGGTGCAACATTGTTTCTTAGTCAGCAGATATGTCTGTCTGTGTGTTGATAATATCTCCGAAAATTGGGTTAATTAATTGATTTGAACCATGTTGTGTTGTCAGCTCTTACTCAAACGGGTCGCAAACGCTCGAAATATAAAAACATACACAACATAAAGAAAATCTTGGAATATTGACAAGCAAAGCTCTACTACAAGTATAAATTTTTAGATTAGGGACAAATAAATAACAGCGGAGTCATTTGAACGTCCATTGCCAAAATAAATTTTCACATTATTTACATATCTTATGTGGTCGCCGATATTGGTGACTGTCGTAAAATAGGGGAAAGGAATTTTCAAAATTGAAAAAGAAAAACAAATCTCAAGAATCGCAAACCATCTGCGTCGCGCCTACTCACTTAAGACATTCTCTCCCCACATGCGGGGCCATATTTTTTTTAAAAGATTTTGCGAAAGCAACAAAGCGAACAGTATCGGATTTACTTGAAATGTCGCTTAAAGTGACGATTCATTCCATATCTTTAGCCTTTAGTGTACGATCGACTTCAAAATTCGCTAAAGAATTACTTGTCATTTTTAAAAGTTTTATCTTAACGGAATCCGTCGGGTTTACTGTTTATCATAAAATATAATTTTTAAGAGATTCTTTTAAAATATTATTTATTATATCAGCAATCTGACTGGCAATCTTCATCCGATGCTCTTACCAGTTGCAAGTGTATCTCCACACTTGCTTCTATTTATACGTTTATGGCAAACTCGCATTTATTTATAGCGTTATTAAAATAAATTCCATTTTATATAATATTCGCTGCCACCTTTCGGAATAGTTTATAAGAATTTATTTATGTGCTGTGTTATGTAATATGTTCGCTAACTTTAGTGCTATAAAGTAAGATTTCTTTTTATTTTACCCACCACCCAAGGATAAGGAGAGGTATGTTCATTTCGTTAATACGTTTGCTGCAACCACGTCTCCAGATCGAAGCTTCAGAGACCCCAAAAAGTATACACACATTTTTTAATCGATTTAAGCATGGCCGTCTGTCCGCCCGTTCGTCTGTGAAATGTCTGTTGTACGCAGGCTTCCTGATCGCAAAAAAGGCAGCTATCGACTTCAAATTTGGCAGAAGCATTGAAAGCTTTTGCACGCAGCTTGGTATTGAAAATGGGTCAAAATCGATGGTAATGTAATGTAATGTAAGGACACCTCTGCTTTTCAAACTTCTTCTTGATAACGCGCACAAAAGAAAGCTTCAAAAATCCCATCAATTTTAGGTCAGTTTTGCGATTGGGAAAGCCTCTAAGCATGCCCATCGATTAATCTGTTCATCTGCCCGTCTGTGCAGTAGTCTTTGTAGTAGTTGTGGTAAACGTTTCCGCGTTCGCAAAAATGAACGCTGGCTTGATAGTCGCGATTCTTTTCTACTAGGCTGGTCATGCGGCACCGTCTCGTGGCACATATTCTAGCATTTTTTTAAGGTAAGTATTTTTCGTTTTATGTAAACTTTTGTAAGTACGCTTAAGGCATAAAACGAGTTTTTTTAGTACATATAGCAAACAATAGAAAATGCATCTCTTTGTCGATGAGAATTCCCCTACCGGAGGCTAAATTTTTAAATATTTACCTCGTTCTCTCTAACGAAACATAAAGTGGTCAGGTTGTCGCAAGAGAATCTTGCATTTCGAACCCTATACACCCCCTATTCTAACCTTATGTCATATGTAATACTAGATTTTATTTAACAAAATTTCATGAATAATTATGCTCAGATGCAAAACTGCCAATGGATATGTGTCCCAAAATAAGGTTCCTTTGAGTCGACTTTCATGGGCTTAGAACAATTGCATGAAGATAAAGTAATTATGTTGTACATCTATACCTAGTGGTAAATTTGCTTTATATTCAGCTTCTGCAGTACCCAGAAGACTCGTCGTTCGAAATTATTTTCATAATTTCAACGGAAGGGGACCAAAACAGAAGGTGGCTCTAAACCGATCGTTAACTTTGGATCTCTTTTAAATTGGTCTGAGGGATGTGTACGCTCACAAACATGATTCGGATTTGCGTGCATGGAACAGTTGAGCTATTAAAGCACTTAATCTAAGCATATCTCGACGCACATCCTGACTTCCTTTCGCGGATTTACCTCTATGAGCAATAAACAATGTGAAGCGCTTTCTCGGAAAGGGATGAATACGTGTTGGCGGAGTAAGTTCTCATCGAGCTTGATTCGCTAAATAGTGTGTTTGGCCATTGACTTTGTCTTAAGTAACAGTCAGGATTCCTTTCAAATAAGAAAACTACAATACTTTTTGTGTTTAACGCAACATACAATCCTAAAGATAAGGGTCACGGCCCACCATTAAATATCATATTCTACGTTTAATCATATAATGAGTTTTCATAACACCGCGTTATATAGGAAGTGATCGTAAAAGTGATCCGAATCGAATCATTTTCAATAGCGCTCATCCTTAGGCTAACAGCACGTAAACGTACGGAATTTAATCAAAATATATACCTCAATAATGGGGGCCTTTTGTTTAAATGAAGGAAAACAAGGCGGACAGACGGACAGACAAGCTTAAATCGGTCCAGAAAATTATCCTGGGTATATTCGTGCAAACATAATATACCATCGTAGCATCACATGATATATATTATCAAGTTGTTTCGTGTTTTTACAATACTTTTAATATCGAACGGTATTGTTGGCTGACTAGAGCGACGCAAAATTGCAAACACACGCAGCCAAGTACGTAACTTGCATTTAAAATTTTTCGTTCCTTTTTTCGCTCAACAATATTGTACACATGTGTTGCTCTAACCCTATAAGGGACACCTTGCAGTAAAAACAACAACAATAATTTCATTTCAATCATGCTTTTTATTATTACTCTATAATGAAATTAAGTTTTCTCTATTTGCAAAATTTATTCGTTAAACTGATTGTTTTCCTGTTTAATCAACAGTCGTGCTGTGATGCGATAGGTTATAATAAAATTTTGTAAGCAAGCAAGCAAGCAAACAGGCAAGCAACAATAATAATGTTATATGAAAAATAACATATGTAACATAGATGATATTCACATCGCACTCGCATCAATAAATGTGTAATAATTTATGACGTGAATGGGAAAAGTAAATAAAAGATATAATGGTATATGAGCGTGACAGTGAACTGTATTCATTGGACTCATTCTGGTCCTTATAAGATTTACGGGCAAATGGTTTTAAAAAAAAAATTTAAATTGAAAATAATCCAGAACACAAGTGTGTGCGCACATTATATGTGATAGCGAGCGCATCTGTTTTATTCATTCATACGTTTTGTTGGTTTGTGTTCGCAAATCGTCTCCTTCTCCTTTTCCTATCTATGAATAATTTCGTTTCTCTCCGCTTTCCCTCGTCTCTTACTTTTAGTTTCACATAATTTAATATGCACGTGTTTGCGACTGTGGTCGAAGTTTGTTGAAAAGTATTTATATATATATATATATATATGCAAATGAATGTTCACTTGTATAGCTGTGTGTGTATGGCAACATTTCGTGGCTTGTCTATGCATACCTACTATATAGCATAACATCTCTAAGAAATTTTTATTTTTACTTTTTTTTTTTTTTTTTTTTTTTTTTTTTGGATATTTTTCTTATGTGTGGGTGCTGTTGTCGTGACGAAAGAAAGAATACAGGGGAAAGTTATCGGACGTTTTTGGTTTGGAAGGGTGACGCGATATGTCCAACCTAACCTTGCCTTCGTAATAAGTGAAAAATATGCATGGGAATGCA